AGTGAGAAGAAGTAACCGATAGAGGGAAAAGGGGAAAAAAGGAAAAAAAAACCTCTATATATTTATCAAATATATTATATACACATATAGATTTTTAAAATTTATTTATTTATTTTTACTGCACCTTTTTTGGTTGGTCACTTCACAGTTAATCTGTGAATAAAATCAACATTTAGTGGCTGTCTCTTATCCATCAATCATCTTTTTTTCCCCTTTAAGCAGCTCTTTTATTAACACTACAAATGAAACTTGGGCAGAAATTGCAAATCAAACACAATGGCCCATTCACTGTCCATTTTATTTGCTTTGTGATTTGGTCATATGGTTATTCATAGTTACAGAATATGGAAGATCTGTCAATTGCCTGAAATTTGGATGAATTACAATTTATTTGATAGAGAAGGTCACCAATGATCTTTTTGGAGAGGAGTAATTTCCTCCTTGGAAACCACATTTGCTCATTGTTATCTATTTTATAGACGCGCAAACATAAGCCATTAGCCACTGAAAGAAATGTTTAGAGATAAGTAACTTTTTAAATTGGAGAGCTTTGCAATACAACCTTCTTGAGTATTGTAAGCCTTACTCATTAAGATGGAAAATCCACATCTTGGTCAGAATTGCGAGGGCTTTCAATTGCCTCCATTTGTATACAACATGCCTGACTTTACATCGATGGATGCAAATACAATGTGTTGTAGCCATCCATAAATATTTCCATGCTGTTCTAAGAAATTAATTTTGGTCAAATAATGATTTATTTGTCAAGAGCAAATGTTGGTGATAACCAAAATTTGTATTTGTTTGTTCGCACATTGCTTGTAGTCATGTTATCAAATTCGGAATCTCCCTTAAGATGAATATTCTTGCTACCATAGCTGTAGAAGCATCGTTTTAAGTCTTTTTTTTTCAGAAGTAGTGTGCATCATGGCTACTAGTCAAATGCAAAACCTGCCATGATTTGAGGATTTAAGGTTTGGAGCAAAGTAGTCATTCACTGGAAAAAATATATATTTTATGTTGATAGTTCTGCCTGAAGGTATCATGTATATCAAACCACCCTTGAACTACAAATCCAAACCACATGATGTATCATCATGTCTTGTGCTTGGACGGATTGACAGCTTTAGAGTGACTCCTATATATAATTTTCCATTTCTACCTTTATATTGGCTAGACAGGAGCCTGAGTTTAGGAAGGTTATTGTTGGATGTTATGTCCAATTTTATCTTTAGAAAATGGATTTATACGTTTGCACAAACACAGCTACACAAACCTACAAACATGGATACAGGACAAAATATCAACAATATCGACATATTCACTAATATATACAGCTTCATATATATATATATATATATATATATATATATATATATATGTGTGTGTGTCCAAACGTACCTACACCAAGACACATAGCTATGTACAACCACACAGAGACAGATACACAGATTCACAAACACAACACCACTTCAGAGGCTTTTGTGCTACATTTTGGAAAAAGGCAAAGTGCAAGTCATTTATAAGAGTACCCTAAGTGGCATAGAAGCCTACAAAAGAAATTGATCAGTTATATATGCTGCATTTTATATGGTCTTTATATTTAAAATGCAATACAATACAAATATACAGGCTATTTGATTCATGCAGCTGTGGGAACAAAATAAAAACTGAACTGCAAAAAAAGGCAGGTTGAGTCATAATTAAGTCTGCCTTGCTCTTGAAGTCTAGTTAAGTGTGTCTCCACCTATCTTAACCTATTTGTGCTATGACCCATGACTCATAGAAAAATCTATATATTCTGCAAGACATGTCTTTAAAAAAAAAAAAAAGTTCTGTGACTGTAAAATCTGCACACCTACTATCACCCAATGTTTGATAGACATACATTTTGCATTGCCAGACGGTGAGGAAACATCAGCGGTGTATAACTAGGAACATAATCATAAACACTCACATGAATGGAAAGAGAAACATGATACAGAGTATGCAGTGGGTCATGTGATAAAGAAAATCTTTTTATTATGTGTGTGGTGTGTCACAAACGGAATTAAAAGCAGTGCCGGAGTTGAAAATGTTTAGTGTACACGGAGTTAAATTAGAACGTGTACATGGGGTTAAATGCATACCATGTGTTTCTATGTACATTTTTAATTAATGCCATGTTAATAAAATATATATTATGCCTGCTCTTAACAATAAACACTGTAATTAACACGTTATTAGTTGGGTTTGGTTATGTGTAAAGGTGTGTTATGTACAAACACAGACATGAAACATATTATGGGCTGTACATGCACAAACAAATTGCTAATAGTTTGACAGTATAGAATATCACATTCCTGTATACAACACAGAGTTTGTCCTTCCCAGATTGTAAACCCATCCGAGCAGAGCCTTCTTCATCTCTTGTCTTTGTCAATATAATTTTGTCTTTCAGTTTACATTTGTATATGCCATCATCAGCAACACAACAAATCTGTCAGTTTTCCTGACACATTTTCATTTGGAACATGTTTTCATTTAGAACAACCCTCCCCACAGCCTCATCCTTCACCCAGTAAATCCTTTCCCAAAACCTTATTCTTCCCCCAGTATATCTTTCTCCACAGCCTCATTTTTGTGGCTCTCTGAATCAGAGACTTCTTTGTCTTCTGTATCTTTCCTATGTTTAACAATGCTTGACAAATGCCGGAGCCTACACAAGCTCAGTGGACATGAGTTGGAATCTTGAATTGGGTGAAGTGTGGGCAAAAGAAGGCAAGCATGATTATGTTTCATCATTGTCAGTATCTTCAAGATGGCAGAACTATGGATAAGCATTCAGCATGATGAGGAAACAAGAAAAATACAATGTTATATTTTGGTGTAGTGTTTGCATGCAGGGGAGTACTGTGTTTATTGTCTATGTGTTTGAATGTAGGTATGTTTTTAATTAGAGTATGTTTATGTGATTGCAAATATGTATTTTTTGGTGTAGTGTTTGCATATGAATTCAGGAGTATATACATATGATACACAGTGATAGATACACAATGATAGATACACATACAGACATACCCACACAGACAGATACACACACAAGTATACTCAAATAGATACACACACAACAACTCACAAATACACACAGAAACATACACCCACAGATACACACACTGTCAGATACACACACACACTATCAAAGAAAATACCCTCACACACACAGAAATAAAGAAAATTCATATATGTTGTGCAAGAGAGAGACTTCTCTTGGATTTTGTGGGATTTTGTGGGAGTGTCCTGTAGAAGGTGATAGTTGTTTGGAGTTGACTGTGGCTGATGGGAGTGAGCTGACACTGGTCCAGGCTCTGTCTCTCCTTCCGTCTCCCCTCCTCCTCTCTATCTTTCTGTCCTATGCACGGCTTTCTGCACACTAGGAGGAAGTGAAGTATAATCACTTGCTCCCAGCACAAAGACCACACATAGTAACGGCAAGTTGGCCCAGGTACAGCCTGCAGGACATAACCCAGAACCCGGTTTTGTTAGGTCACGGATCCAAAACATGTGGCTTTTTGTAACTATGTATCTCTGTATTTTCCCTTTATATTCTGCTGCAACTGGCTTATATATATATATACATATATATATATATATATATATATATATATATAAAATATTTAATATTCTCTGTATATACTCTATGTATATGCAAACTAATCTTACTTGCACTTTCTGTGAGTTTTTGTGATATTACATTTTTGTTGCAAATTTGAAAATGACAAAACCTTATAATAGACACATCATGGGATATGTGACAAATGTTACAGTAAGTATGGTAAATAGTTCAATTTGCTGTAAATACAGGTCTTTTTGTTCTAATCTGCAGAGGCTATACTTTTTTTTTGTTACATGCAAGTCATATTGTTAAAGGAACACATTAGGGCCAGGAACACAAACATGTATTCCTGTAGTGTTAAAAACACCATCGGGGCCCCCTCCCTGTCCATCCCTTGCCCCCCTAAAGATAGTGACATCTTTATTGCAGTCTGGTGCTCTGCCCCTGACCTGCCTGCTTGGCTGACATCATCAGCAGTGTGATCTAAGCCAACCACAATGCTTTCTCATGGGAAAGCTGTGAATTGACTGAGCTTACATGGGAGGCAGATCAGGGGCAGAGCCAGCACAAGCCAAACACAGCCCTGGCCAATCAACATCTCCTCATAGAGATGAATTGAATCATTGTATCTCTACGAGGAAAGTTCAGTGTCTCCATGCAGAGGGTGGAGACACTGAATGTCAGTACTGCACACAGTAATTTGATTGGTATATCAAACTAAAAATATCCATTAATTTGATCTATCAAGCACTTACTATTTCTTTCCTAAGCAACAGTACAACACAACATCAGAAAACCTTAATAGAGGAAGTAGCTTTTCAGACCCTTGTTTCAGATACCAAAGAACTTTCTACATATATTTAATTCACTTCAATTTGATACTGTGTTGCTTTATGCACAGGCATAATGACAACTGTTATAACTATTTTTTTTTTATTTTATTACTAGCATTTATAAAGCACCAACATATTCTGCAGCACTGTACACAGAGGCGTAACTAGAAACCACAGGGCCTGCATGCGAAAATCCCCCCCCCAGATGTCAACCTCTTCGCTACCCCCCTTATACGTCTACCCTCCCATACGTATGCAGAAACACATACAGACACACACACACATACAGAGACACACACATACATGCACACATACATACAGGCACACACATACATACAAACACACACACACATATAAACAGACACATGCAAACACAAACACACAGAGATGCACATATACAGACATACACAGATATACAAACACACACATACAGACACACACACACACACACACACATACAAACACACATACCTACAAACACATACACACACATACATACACACATACATACAGATACACAGACATACATACACACACAGACAGACAGAGACACACACATACAGACAGACACACATACATACACACATACAGAGAAACATTCATACAGACACACATTCATACAGACACATACAGACACACAACCACAAAAACACACATACATACAAACAAACACACACATATACAAAATGTTTAGTCACCCTCCTATTTCCTACCTTTTAGGTGCAGGAGGGTGACTTTCTTGGGGTCCAGTTGTGGCTCAGCCTGATTGGAGTCAAAGTTCCCACTCTGACTCCCTCTTCTTTCCTCCCGTGCAGCTCCCAGTGTAAGCTAGGAGGAGTGACCGGGGCAGTCACTTCCTCCCAGCTGTGATGTCATCACAAGGGGCACGGTCGCGCTGTTAAAGTGCCGCAGCGCTGAAAGGGCCCCCTGGAAATACATTTCCATTGGGTGGTCCATGCTGTTAGGCCCTGGCCGTTCTACTGTGCGAGTCGGGGCCACAACACATGGTGGCGGGCACCGCAGTCGCAAGTGTCCTCAGGGGTCCTCAGGGGTTACGCAGGTCAGCCGGGCCCCCTGGAGTGGCAGACCCAGTCGCAACTGTGTCCCCTGCGACCCCTGTGACCGCAGTAGTTCCACCACTGGCTGTACAATGGGAAAACAATACAATATAAACAGACCGATACAAAAAGGTAGATGGCCCTGCCCGTGAGCTTACAATCTAAATATAAGATAGGGAAGTAGTGGGGGGGAGGAGTGGTGGAACAGACTAGCCATTTGTTGCACTTATTAAAATATTTGCCTTTTAAATCCATCAGCCAGATAATTAATTACTACAGGTAACTGCAAGTACAAATATTACAGTACTAAACTATAGGTAAAAATGGTGACATTATATTAGTAAATTAATATGTAGTAAAAAGGTGTAAGGAATCAGGTGAGTGAATCCCAGTCCATACCTTAAAGCTGCAGTATTTAAATGAAGATTCGTAGTTGCAGGGATGGGAAGGGAAGGTAGTAAAGCTGCAATATTCAAATGAAGATTCTTAACTATGATTATAATGCCCGCCACATGCACTTTTACTGCATGGTCATGAATGAAATACCATTGCTCTTTTTTCACTAATCTAAGAATTCAGCAGAATTGAAGATTGAATTCCAAATTTAGGACAAAATAGTGTAAATGGAAAATTCTGCAACTCTGCAGTATTTTTGCATCAAGTTTTTCTAAATAATTTTTTCAATAATTCCTGCAGAGGAATTATTACAATAAATACTTTATTTGTAAAAAAATAAATAAAATAAAAACTAATAATAAAAAGGTCTGTAGTAGAAAGTAGATGTTTAAAAAAAAATAAAAAATATATGTGTATTCATACACACACACACACACAAATACACATATATTTATTTTAATTTTAATCATTGAGATTTCTCTCGTTTTCAAGTATATATATATATATATATATATAGATATATTTATATATATAAGCAGAAAGCAAAAGTGAAGCTGCACTCACGGACTGTAGTTTAAAATATTAAATTCTTGATTGATTCACATTAAAAAGATCGACGTTTCAGTCCCTCCTGGGGACTTTCCACAGGACATGAATACTGGTCTACCAACACTAGATTATATACATACATAATTATAAACATAAGTGACATGTGTGAAAAAATCTAACTTACCCCAGATGAGGTGAGGTGCCGTCGGCGTTCTGTCGAATGCCGGGCGCATGCGTGGAGAAACTCCGCCCCTTTGTGAAGACGAACTAACGTGATTGCTGAAAGTGTGTTCCTGTGGTAACGCTAGTATACCTGAGGAAAGTCCCCATGAGGGACTGAAATGTTGATCTTTTTAATGTGAATCAATAAAGAAGATTTTAAACTACAGTCCGTGAGTGCAGCTACACTTTTGCTTTCTGCTTGGATACAATTGAGCCCTGGCTGGCACATGGCATTTGTGAAATGTTATATCTTGAGTGCAGGGATATCCTTTGTTTTTGTAATATATATATATATATATATATATATATATATATATAAATAATCCAAAGGTATGGCTGCATTCACGTATAAAAGTCCAAAATTTATTAGAAAAAATAAATAAAATAAAATATCAAGTGATCAACGTTTCAGTCGCACAAGACTTTCATCATGATCCTGATGAAAGTCTTGTGCGACTGAAACGTTGATCACTTGATATTTTATTGTTTTTTTTCTAATAAATTTTGGACTTTTATACGTGAGTGCAGCCATACCTTTGGATTATTTGGATATTGAAGATGATTTTGGTTGGCACCCGGCTATTAAGGGACATTGGAGCGTGAGTGCAGAAGCTATTTGTATTGTTTTATATATATATATTGTGTATATATATATACACTTTCTACAACTGCTTTTTTTAATTTATTTTTTACAAATAAAGTATTTATTGCATTAATTATATATATGTTTTGATTTGCTATGCTAATTTAATTTATTTGACACTTTACTTAATAAAAGACTGGGTTAAATAATGTTTGGGAAATCTATAATGTTTTTAAAATCTTTAAATATATAATTGTAAATGCATGACAGCTGAGGTCTCGCTTATATTTCCCTAGATTTGCAAATGGCAAACACAACCAGTTTTGAAATCAACATATTAGGCAGCAGAAGGATCATTTGACATTTTTTGATTTGTCTCTGGAGGCTGAGGTGCCCTAAGGATGAAGACTTTAATCCTTCATGGGGTCACTTGCCGGGCAGTGAAAGGAAGGAGTATAAGTACCAGCATGTTCTACTAGATTCAGGAAACTGATACCCATGGCTTCTCTTCTGCTCGTTAGACTGGAAGGCAAAATGCATGCAGATTTACAACATCAATCCATTCTACAGGCTGGAATCAACCTTTCCTTAGACAGGTCATATATTTTGGTTGGACATTTTTTAGAATTTGTTTTGAGATTATTGATTCCGTTTTACAAATATGAGACAATGTATCCCATCTCTTGGCACTATCATTCAAAATCCTCTTAAAAAGTGACTATATTTTTAGCACCTTTGTAATGTTTTTTTTTTTTTTTTACACTATTTAGACTACCATTTATGTGATTAGTCTCAGAAAAATCACATTTTTATCTGAAATCTGATTTATTTTCCCAAAGTGGCTACAATGTGCTGTATAATACCTTACTGTATAGTAAAACAGTATTTTTAAATCTTAATGGGATTATAACTCTCTGTTTTCTTTAATTGGAATGTCTAATTTTACAGATGGCACACTGAGCAGTCACAGTAAATTCCATTTTCTGGAACTATGGTTTTATCCTGAACAATTATCACAAATGTACCCAGGCAATAGTATTTATGTGTTGAACACTGTGTTGTGTTGTTGTTTTTCGAAATTTTCATTCACTTTAAAATCCTTCTAAACTCAGACATTAAAAAGTATGATTAATGGAGAAGTGTCAGTTGATTATCATTAAATACTAAAACCATCATTTGTTGTCAGAAGTGTGATAAATATATCTCAGTTTTAGTCTCCTATATAAGTTAAAGTGATACACATAATATTATATATAATTATCATTAGGCCGTAGCATTAGAAGCCTCTTCTCATTGCACAGATCACTATTACAGCTACAGCTTTCAAAAGGCTAAATGAAAAAGATAGTTGAGATAGAACTTTATGTCCCAACTCTATGCTCTGATTCATAAAAAGCCCAAACTGCAACCACTAATGGTCTTTGTTGGCACAGGAGACACTGTTGACAAACTCAGCGTTGAGGATTCAAAGTGAAATTCACATTTAAGGTCAAAATAGCTTAACGTGAAAAATTGTCTAAGTCATCTATGCATTCAGTTTGGCTACTCTCACCTTAAAATAAACCTTTAATGGAAAAAAATGACTTACCTTAGATTGCTTCCATATACCTTGAATACGCCATATATCTTGAAGATACATAGTGTACTCAGTGTGAAATATAAAGATTTACTCACTTTTTGATTCCAATGCCTCTTTGTGAGTGTTACTCTTCGTGTACCACCCACCTCCTGGCCGTCTTTTGTTCTGCCTGTGTTCCGCTTCTATACTTATTTGATTTGCCCTGTTTGGAAAGCATCCCCAAGCAAGGCAAATCTAATCTGTGATGTTGACACGCTGACTTCGTTGCCATACTCCAGCGCCGGGAACGGACAGAAGTCAAGTTATTCTGTTTCTATACTCCATTTCTGGCGCTATAAGCACCGGCTAGAGAGTTTCCATAGCAAGTGAGTGCATGCTATGGGAGAAGAGTTAACGGACCTTCTGTGCCAAGGCATTGACTGACAGGTTGGATAAAAAAACGTTTTAAATAGGTTTTTCTCCTAAATTATACATTTGCGAAGAAAATGCTAGCACAATGTATAGATAAAATCGTATGCTCAATCTAATGAGCCTAAATTGTTTGGGTCATGATAGGTGCCCTTTAGATTCACTTTAAATTCACATTAAATTTATACTTTAATGAATAACGCAAACTATCTTTTGGTGTTGAGCAATAGGCCAGTCAAGGGATACAAATTACTTTCTTACCCAGTGGTCTTACCTTCAGTGTCAAAAATTGTATGGAAGTCCCTGACCGTAGCTCGCTGTTAAGTGAATAAACCCCATCCTCTTCATGTTACTGAATCTCTTTACATCCACCTGTAGAATGGAGCTCCATGTAACAGCTGAGTGAAACCAATAGCAACAATGTTTAAAGCTTCAATTTCTAGGGTATTTCCCATTCATAAAAAAGGCATTTCAAATAAGAGAGCAAGCAATAGACATATCTAGGACATGAATAATCCAAACCTAAATCCAAATTAGCATTCTACCCCTGCAGGGCTGAGATATTATCTCCCATTCATTACATTAGAGGTATTTTCAGCTAAGTGCAAAAAACAAATGGGAATTAAATGCAAACAAGAAAATAACATTTAATTTATTCCTCCTTCTCATGCTGCTTTAATATAAAATTTCAATTACTGGACATTCATGGAAGAATTAGGCCAATCATTTTGGTACTTTAAACCTAGCCCTTTGTAGGAAATAACCAGCAGTGAATATGTACATAGATAATTGGTTCTCAGAGTAGCTCTATAGAAGATATTTAAGCACATTCGTCCATGGTTTACTAACCCCATGCAGAGGAGGAATGACATAATGCATTCGAAAATATATTTTGAAGTCAATGGCTACTTTTGGTTCCTGTCTCATGCTATTGGGACACAGTGCATAATCCTCATCAGGATATTAATATTTCTACCTGATTTGCTTTTATTTTTCTTCTCATGACCAAGCCTGCTTTTTAATATTTCACACTAGCTTTGGTTTAAGGAAATCTAAAAAAAAAACCCCATAAAAACAAAACAAACAAAAAACACCTATAATAAATAAATAAATCATAATAAGAAATATTGGGGGAGTGGCTAACCGCCAAGCAAGATGGCTGCTTAAATTTGTGCTCTGGGCTTCAACAATGGCGAAATTAGGAGACTTATCCACTATAATTGCACACCTGACCGCAAGTATGTCGGAGGAACCAAGAGGGCCAAGGCTGAAAAATGTAACTTCTTCGGCCAAAAACCTACTCCTATGGCCCTAGCTGTGCAGGCCATGCTGCACGATGGTGGAGCTCTCTCAGAAGATAGTAACCCCGCTTCGGACAGTCCTATTGTGGACAGAAACCTAACTGCAACATACTTACAGGAGGCGCTGGACTCCCTGTCTGCTAAACTAATCTCCTCGTGGTCTTCACATGTGGACACACTGAGCAAAGACAACCAAGAGCTGGGAGCACGGACGTCCCATAACGCAAGCAAGATAACTGAATTTGCCTCAGACCATAATGATTTGGCTGAGCATGTCCAACGGCTGGAACAACAACTTACCTCCATGGACACTAACATTATTGACGCTGAGGATCAATCGTGTCGAAACAACTTGCGGCTGAGGGGCATCCCGGAGCCTGTTGCAGCAGCGTTGCTACCTACTTACGTCCATGGCTTGCTCAAAGTGCTTGCGCCCGAAGTGCCTACTGACATGCTGCTGCTGGACTGGGTACATTGAGTGCCTAAGCTGACACACCTGGCTGCAATGGTCCCACGGGATGTCCTATTGCAAGCCCACTACTATCATGTGAACAGGGCTGGTGCAAGGATTTCTGCCGCCCTAGGCAAAGATCCATTTTGCTGCCCTCTCATGTCACTAACTCACTGGCAGACACACACTGGCAGACACACACTCACTGACAGACACACAAACACACAGACACTTACTGACAAACATGCACTCACTCACTGACAGACACACACACATACGCGCACACAGACAGACACTTACTGATAGACATACACTCACTCACTGACAGACACACAAACACACACTAACCGACAGACATACACTCACTCACTGACAGACACAGACACTCACCGAAATACATACACTCACTCACTGACAGACACACACACACACACACACACACACAGACACTCACTGACAGACACACACACTCACTGACATACATACACTCACTCATTCACAGAACCACAAACACACACTCACACACACACACACACGGGAGTCAGGCTGGGTAGGGATATCCCAGGGGGTATGTGCCTCCACTTAGGTGAAGAGTACTTCTGCCCATGGAGGTTGAGGTGATATATAGATATATAGATGGCATAAAACAAAACAACAAAAAAAGTTACTAACTTATGTTGCAAAAGTTATGATCACTGTAGCTCTCCATACAGGTTGTTTACCCCAAAGCCCGACTAGCCACCATGCTAGGGCATACCGGTCCTGCTTACCCCCACAGTGCACAAGGACCACACTACTCTCCCCCAGGGGAACTTATTGTATATACTTTCTTTATTTGTTGGTTTTCTCCCTTTACGAATGTCTGTGTTTTTCCATCCCGGATAACCCCTCACTCTCTCACCTTCCCCCGAGAGTACGTTTATCTATTTGAACAACCACGTCACTCAGAGTTGCAGTTACACTTGATCCCACCACGAGATGTGGATATAGCTGTACTTATTCACATCCACATTCCTGACTTCCATTGTTGGTACCTTGGCCTCATAGTTCACTAGGAACACATAAGCACTCCCTGTATGCCACCAAACTATGAAACTTTACTCGCACAACGTATGGGGATTAAACACCCCACATAAGTGTAGAATACTTATGGACGAGGCCAAATAGATCAAAGCTTACATCCTATGTGTTCAAGAAATGCACTTTGTTAAACTCAAAATCCCATCCTTTGGTACCAGAGATTATCCTATACAATACCACACTGCCCATACATCCAAGTCGAGGGGTATCCATCCTTCTCCACAAGTCTCTATCATTCAAATTACTTAAGATCAAAGTTGATAGTCAAGGCAGGTATATAATACTCACATGTAAAATAACGACATAGAATACCTAATAGCGAATGTGTGCAGTCCTAATACCAACCAAATTAACTTTCTCCATAAAGTCTTAAACAAAATAGGGACGCCCCACACGGACCAGATAATCATCTGTGGAGATCTGAATCATATACTAGACCACAATCTAGACTCTTTTTCTAAAGTCAGCAACAATAGCCTTAAAACACAGTGTCAATCCATAACTAAACTCATCACTGAATTCCAATTATACGATGTGTGGAGAACCCTTCACCCTTCTGACTGAACCTACTCGCGCCACTCTACATCACACAAAACCTACTCTCACATTGATTATGTGCTCACCTCTGCCCCTATACTTTGCAGAGCGACGCACTGCACCATAGGTGACATAGTATGGTTGGACAATGCCCCGGTCTTACTGACCATTACTGCAGAATTCCCTACAAGGAGGCGCCCACCCTGGAAACTCAATGACACGTTATTATACAACGAATAGTTTAAGGGGAAAGTAGACACAGAGGTACAGGCATATTTTGCTACTAACACTAACGCAGACACCTCCACCTTCACACAATGGTTGGCACATAAAATGGTTGTGCGGGCTTACTCCTTAGCCAAGCATCACATCGCAAGAGAGCCACTGCTGCTCATTGTCTGCCACTCTTATGAGCTCTGAGAGAAGGGACTGCGCAACACTATTTAACCCCCACACCTGCACTGCAAAACTCCATAGATACAATAAATACATCCCTCAATAAACTACATATGACTAAAGCAGCACACATATTACAAAGACTGAAAGTAAGGGAATAGGCTCACAGCAATAAAGCTTCACGGTTACGTAAACAGCAGGCATCTTCCAAAATACCTTATCTGCTGCAGCCGGATGGCACGAAAATATACAACCTCCAACACATCACTGACCAACTGGCAAAATACTACACTAAGCTATATAACTTAAAAACTGACACAAATACCCACCAACCCACTGACTCTGAGATCTCTGACTTTCTGGCTAGTATGGACCTCCCAACCCTTACAACGGACCAACAAACATTGCTACAATCCCCCATCACAGTTGAGGAAATAATTACCTTCACTGATGCCCTACCATCTTGGAAATCGCCTGGCCCTGATGGGCTGTCCAATCAATACTATAAAGCCTTCTCCTCCACTGTTGCCTCAAGCGATGCTAACCTCTGGACACACACTACATGAAATGCTGATGTCACACATCACGACGTTGCCCAAACCAGGGAAAACACCAGATAGGGGTCAAAATCCAAGGCCAATATCACTTCTGAATACAGATATTAAAATCTTTGCGAAACGTTTCGCTAATAGGTTATCAGATATCATTTGCACCATTGTCCATGGCGACCAAGTGGGGTTTGTTAAGGGATGGCAAGGATTATATACTTGATCCACAGCTTGCGGGGGGAAAGGGAAAACAGTGTTTTCCTTTCGTTAGATGCTGAAAAAGCTTTTGATAGGCTGCACTGGCCCTTTCTCCTTGCGTTAAAAAAGTTCCAGTTCCCACCAGCCTTCCTCGGGCATTGTATAGCAATCCAGCAGCAAGAGTTGCAAATAGCGGATTTGTATCACTGGCATTTAGTATAACCAATGGTTCTAGGCAGGGATGCCCACTGTCACCCCTATTGTACATACTGTTATTAGAACCACTAACTGCCTTAATTTGCATAGATCCACACATCCATGGAGTACAGATTCACCAACAAGACTACAAACTAACACTTTTTGCGGACGACATTCTCCTCACACTTCATAAACCATGGGAGTCTCTACCAGCGTTTGCAGCCAATTTAGAAGTGTACAGTCGATTCTCTTACTATAAGCTAAACGTTACAAAAACCCAGGCTATGAGGTTTAATGCCTCACACACCTCTTTGCACACGCTTAAACAGACCTTCAACTATGATTGGAGAACTGATCATTTAACATTCTAGGGAATTAAACTTACCAAGTCCATAGATAAACTGTACAAGGCAAACTACATAAGCCTACAAAACGACATTAAGATGCTCCTTATCAGCTGGGAAAATAAATGTATTACATGGTCAGGCCGTATGTCCGCGGTTAAGATGATATCCATTCCTAAATACCAGTATCTGTTCAGAACACTACCGATCAAGGTGCCAACTAAATACTTCAGAGAAAATCAAAAGATAATCAACAAATTCAAATGGGCAGACAAAAGACAGAGAGTCTCCGTGTCTACCCTGTATCGCCACTTCACAAAGGGAGGCATAAGCCTACCAAATATTCATTATTATTACTTAGCAGCCAATATTGCACCACTGGTGATGGCTCAAACACAGAGACATCCCCCACAATGGGTAAGCCTTGGATCAGCCGTAACAAGGGGCCATCATTTCTCCTCATTGGTGTGGATTCAAAACCACCTTAGACCTAGACAGATACCCATACTTCCTATGACAGCCTTGACAATGCATGTATGGAACACACACAGACACAGGTATTGATCACATGACAAGTATTCCCCCGGCAGTGACTATCTCCACACTTCAATCCATGATACCTAATCTTAATTCTCGAATCTGGGAAAACATGATAGATGCTATGTCCACCAATTAATTCATAATTATAAGATTATAGCACTTGCACACCTACAACAAAGTCATAACCTCCCAAGTGTAGCTCCCTTCTCTTACCTACAATAAAAAATGTGGTTACTGAAATGCTATATTCCAGCGTGGCGCAATGTAAATGGGCAGCGGCTGCCAAACTTTGAGAAAATACTCATGAAACCGGCACCGGCTCCAAAAATTATTTCAATGCTTTATACTGGGCTGAACGTTAACCAAATTATGCATCGATTGCCATTTGTTTGGACTTGGCAGCGGGACTTAAATATATATAATATTTTCTTCCATTAAAAATATACACTATGCACAAACCACATAGAGATCTGTAGGAAAATGTTATATAGATGGTATTTGGTACCAAAGCACTTGCATCGTATGCACCCTAGCATCTCTAACCAATGTTGGAGATGTCAAGACGGGCTTGATATATGGTGGGCATGCCCAAAAATAGCAAATTATTGGAAGAGGGTCGCAGATTTGATATATAAAGTGATGGGAGTGTGTATCCCGCATATCCCCGGAAAACTTTCTGCTACAGAACTACCCCCTAAAACTAACCAGTATCTCATGCTACCTCATATACCATATAAACATTGCAGCGCTTATGGTTATCAGTAGGAATTGTAGAAAAAAAAAAAAACCCCCTTCATTGGAAGAATGTTTACAACTTATTGAAACAAATAAACTATCTGAAATAACGGCCAGACAAGCTGCAAATCAAAAAAACAAGACTGGAAAAAAGCATGGACTAGTTGGGATGAGGCAAATAGCCTCACTAACCCATGAACCACATGCTCTTGAAGTCTCGACAGCTGTGCCCATGTGATGCCCCCATATGATGCATAAATATGATGTAAAAATGGAAAAGTTGTAATTTGAATATTGCATACATCTTTAAATCGCACAGTGGCAATCTTAGCAAACTAGATGATTCTGTATAATGAAAGAGCTCGGTTAATGGTAACTTTGATCGCTGTGACTTCGCTTGCCGATCTCTGTTGACCTTGCTGAGTACCAAGAAACATAAACTCTCCCCCTTAATCCCCCCATCCTCTTTTCACTCCTTACTTTTCCTAATTCTCCTTTTCTCTGTTGTAAGAGAAAATCGTTCACATCGTGTCTACACGTCCTAGACATCAGTTACAATGTTTACAAGCTGTGAATCAGGCTGTATAAATGTACCAAACATGATTGTTATAACGATGATTGCTATGTTACATTGTCAAATGTACAACGTTTATTTGTACTAATGTATACAACTGTGAATGAACAAAATTCATAATGAAAATAAAATAATATAAGAAGAAATATTAAATGTTAGTTATAGTTATCAGGGTGATAAAGCATAAATATAATACGCAAACATATATTTTAATATATAGCTAGCAGCTATTCAGCCTGTTATCTTGACAGTTTAATGACATGGGGATTATTTTACTGTGATTAATGTGGTTCTTTAACCCCAGTTCAGGCCTGGAACATACACAGACTGTCTGAGATTAAGGAAGTCACTTGTTCAGTGTGCAGTCATGTTTACTTTACTTTGCTGACTTCATTGTTTCTGTCTTTTTCTCCTTACTGATATGCCAAGGTGATGGAGTAGAGACCTTACTTCAGTTGGGCAGGAGGCAACAAGAGCCATGAGAGAGATACCAAATTTTTTTTTCTGAGTATGTTTATGTGTTTGTATCTTTAAATGTGTCATGTGTGTTTGTGTTTATTAGTCTGTAAAAAACAGATAAAATTTGTATCTTGTAATACCTTTTTGATTGGACTAAATTATGCATGTAATGTAAATTCCACTGCAGTTGTAATAGTATCAGGGTTATAACTGCTGCATTTGCACTTACGTCTGTTTGGTTCTCAGATTCTTCTATATTGCAATTTTTTTGGTAAAGGAGGAGGCATCCTTCCTGACAGGCCTTCTTCCTGATTGGTATCCAGGACTGTAATTGTGGGTTATTAGCTCCTGTATTGTCTCTCAATGCCTCTTTTAATTGGTATCTCAAAAACAAAACAAAACACAAAATGGCGTCTTCAAATCCCACATATTGTTTCAAGGTATTCATAATGGAGTATTAGCCCAGCTGAATAGGTGCAGAGAACCTATATTAGCTGAATGTCTGCTTGCGTATGTGCCCTTAACATTCCTGTATGTCTGTTTGGCATTTGACTCAGCTGTGTACCCCCAACTGGATTATTATACCTGGTTTGTCAATATATCTTCACCAGTCATGAGCTCAAAAGAGCCGCCACCTCATGACACAGATTTTAATATAGGAGTCTGCCCAAATGTATTGTGGGCAGCATATCATGAAAACATGGGCATCATGTCACATTTGTGACCTTAGAATAAATGTGCAGGGCAACTTAGCCCTATAGTTGATGTATGAGTTGATTTTCCAATTCAGTCTGTGATGGGATTCCAGCATGTTTAAAATTTAGTAGGCCGAAATCTCCACATGGCATATGCTAATTAGTATCTGGTTACAAACAGTTGGATGAGTCATCAGTGTAGAGCACATTCCTTTGTCTTTAACAAGCCATGTGGTCTGCCCATATAAGGTGATCCAGAATATCCTGTTCACGGATTGTTCTAAGGGTATGTGTGGGTGGAAGCTATGGATGGGAGGAGTTACTGTTAACAAAAAGCTCTGTCCCCATGTGCTGGGTCTCTCAGATATTTTTGGAACAGGAGTTCACCTGAGACTCGATCGGTGTGAATAAAGAACCTTTTTACTTCCTAAAGACCTGCCTTCATCTCTCTGTGTTTGGCTTCTGCAATTGATTACGGTAACAAGTCCAATTTGTCAGTAGCAGCATCAATACTCAGATTTATGACTGGTAAATAATCTAAACTCCTACAGAGAGTCCCTGACTTGTATCAAGCTTTGAATATTTACAACAGTGTATTTGATAAAGCAGACAAAGGGTTAATCTCAAGTTGACGTTAAACTCGATTTCATCTTAATTATCATCAAGTAAGTCTCTAAATCTCTTCAGCGGGAATGTACTTGTCCAATGAAATTGGATGAGTTTGCAAGAAGCATGCATACATATTACATATTGGACTACCATGTTATAACAACAAAAAATCTTCAGAGTCTATATAAATACACCTCTCTTAGACGAAAAATATACTCATTCAGTCAAACCATATTGGCAAATCATAGAAAGCAAATACATGTGTGTTTGCTAGTAAAAAAAAATTGGCAAAGAGACAAGCAAGTATGATATTATTATTTTATTATTTATATAGCGCCATCACATTCCGTAGCGCTGTACAATGGGTGGACTAACAGACATGTAATTGTAACCAGACAACTGGACATACAGGAACAGAGAGGCTCAACGAGCTTACATTCTAGATCAGTGATGGCAAACCTATGGCACGCGTGCCACAGGTGGCACGCCGGGCCCTTTCTGTGGGCACGCGGCCACAGGTTCGCCATCACTGCAGAGTAGGCGCCTGCCTGCCCGAAACGGCAGGCGCCTACTCTGCTTCC